CTCCCCGCGTCCCTCGGCCCCAATAAACAGCCGGACCCCTCTCCCCGTGTCCCATCGGCCCCAATAAACAGCCGAGCCCCTCTGCCCCAGCAAACAGCCAGGCCCTTCTCCGTGTCCCTCGACCCCAGCAAACAGCCGGGTCCCTTTCCCCGTGTCCCTCTGGCTCACTGCTGGAATGTGTTGAGGATGACAGCAAGGGTATGACTGTAGACAGACAGAGAGAGAGAGAAAGACAGAGAGCGAGAGCAAGCGCGAGCGCGAGAGAGCGAGAGAGGGAGAGAGGGAGAGCGCGAGAGAGATACCCAGCTATGGCCATTGAAAAGAGAAACAAGAAAGCCTTGTCCTAGCAATAATTAGAGGGGAAACTAGGGATGAAAAGAACCAGAGGAATAAAAATCAGATGTGGATAATGTGGAGAGGTGAATAAAGGAGCTTGAAGAAAGCCAGAGAAAAGACCAGGTGATGCTGAAAGAACCAGGAAGGCTGTGGAGAGAGGAAATGAATGACTGAATGATGCCCATAATCAACCATTCTGTTCAAGCTCCAATTTTAAACTCATACAGAATAATGGCACATGGGAGAGACAGCAAAAGGCAGTTCAGGCATCAAAGGGCAGTGCCATTACCAGCACAGCGACATGCCCCAGTGCAATGTCTCCCCGCCCCCCCAGCACAGCAACACACCCAAATGCAGTGCCCGCATCCTCCTCTCCTACACCCCACCCCACCACTTCACTGTTGTGTCTCATTGCAATCAGCAGTTTCAAGACAAAAGTTGCAAAACCTGGGGAGAAAACCTAACTCCGATAGTAGCGAGTAAAAAGATCAAATACCTCGATTCATCATCGGAAATATAATCTACTTCCTGCCCTTCGAAGTCTCCATCATCACTGTCCTCAACAGCCTCATCATCGGAACCCTTTCTCTTCTTTTTCTTCGCTCCAGCCTGCCCTTTCTTCGTAACTTTCGGATCTTTTTTATTGTCTCCTAGAGAAGGCAACAGAAGGCCCATGTCAAATCCATGAGTCAGAGACCGTCAGAGAATCCACAACTTGGCAAGAGGAACCTGCTGCTGGCCCTTCAACCTCCTTGGCTAGCAAACCTCAACTGAACAAAGCCTTGCATAAATTCCTCCACTGTTCCCTAGGGAAGAGAATTTCACAGACTAACAACCCTCAGAGAGGAAGAAAATGCTCTCATCACTATCTTAAAGGGAGGCCTCTTACTCCTACACTTTATCCCCTAGTTTTAGTCTTTCCCACAACAGGGAGTATCCTCCAGGTAACCACCCTGTGCAGTGACTCTCTCTGAAGGACACAATGGCCCAGAACCCACACTGTCAGACCCTCTCTGAGGGAAACAGTGGTCCAGAGTCTCTGCCTCAGAGAAAGAGGGGCTCTGGGGAGACTGGAAATGTAGGTACTATGATCATTCTAGGAACAAAGAATTGAAGCAAAGTGGAAAAGTACATGAAAAACTGGCCGAATGCAAAAACAACACAATTTGAGGGGGTGGGAGAGGGAGCTGCCTGACTTGTAGCATCAGTGGGAACTGTCCACTTGTATGGTCTACACAGAGCCACCTGATTTTGTTTACCACCTATTTTTGAAGGCTGGAAGAGTGCTGTAGTCAGAACAAAATGGGGATTCAACCTGTAACTTTTCATTCAGAATATTATTAATATCAGGGACCATGCCCCACTCATCAGAAATCAACCTGTCCAGCTGGGGTTTGCAAGAGCAGTGCTGTGCAATCTGAGATAGAGCTTCAAGTGCCACTGTCACCAAAGTCCTTGATGGATGGGAAGCAGTGAGACTCACTGGTTTATCTCAGTTGTTTAACATAATTACATAACTCTATAAAGTAACAGTACTATTAACACTTATTAATTTTTTTGTATTAACCCAATAAATTAGCTACATATTGAAGTGCACCTGTCATCTTGTAATCTTTTCAATCAGACCTTAAAGAGGTATCTGTGAAGTCCCTTGAGCTGAACAACACACAGGGCAAGGTATACCCTACTGCTTCCTGTCACTTACTGTCTTCGTCACTGTCCTCATCGTTCTCATCAGAGCTCACTTCCAGGTCATCTTCCAGGTCATGGATTCGGAGGTCATTTCCTTTTCGCTTTCTCTCCTTCCCTTTCTTTACCTTCTCTTCCTCGTCCTCTCCATCATCCCGGTCCTGATCCTTTAACCTTTTCTGCAGCATGATACTGAAATGGTTCACCACTTTGTTGCGTCTGGCCAATAGCGGTGAGACCAAGGAGATCAGATGGTACGGGACAAAAACAGAAATAACGCAAAAAAATTAAACTCGGCACAACAGACAGCAATAATCAAGCTTTCCCCTTTCCGATCTCTCAGTATCAGCAACAAAGTAGTGCACTAATTCTGGGGAACAGACAGATACTGCCCTGTATGTTAATGACAGACAATACTGACCAGCTGAGCTGTCCTGTCTGTGAGAGAGTACTGTTCAGAGTTCACTCGCAGCAAACCCAGTGTTTGAACATACTGCTCCCAGCAGCCTTGGGATAAACAGCAGCTGAATCCCCAAGGACCCCAGCCCCTCCGCCCGGCAGAACTGAGGCTCTGGGTGAGGGACAGGGAAGGTCAACCATAATTTCCCCCTCAAGATTCCAATCCCATAACCCAGATGTATCAATAGAAACAAGCTTGACTTGAACTTCCAAGATCAACAAAGTCCGACTGCTCAAAATCAATATTAACTTTAGTCCTGCACTCTGAACTTCTATCAACAATATGGAATCTCTTGTGCTAAGGGTGAGAGATGACTGAATAAACAGCTGCAGACATAATTCACATTTTATTTTTATTCTCCTGATAACATTTGCAATACTAAAAACCTCCCCTGCAGTGGAGCTACAGTCAATATGTTGGGAACATATTAAGAATGATGTGGAAAAATTGAAAGACATGGAATGGTTTGGATGTTTTCTGGATTGAAAAGGTATCACACTTTTTCACATCCCCCCTACCCTGCACCTGCCCCACCCTCTCCCCCACCCCACCACCCCCAAGGAATAAGCTTAACCTAGTTTTCCGATCAACCTGTTGTGAGGTGTTATTACATACCTCTGGAGCAGTTGGAACTTGAACCTATGCCTCCCAATCCAGGGGTAGGGTCACCTTCAAGAGGAGAAAGGTTCATGGCCCTTGATTAATACTAACCTTGGTTTCATATAGTTAATGGCGTCTACATGTTCATGGATGCCTATCAACCCTTTTGGATACAACGTTTTATTTCACAAACCTAAATAATTGGTAAGGAAGACACCCCAGAAGTTGCAAGTCTCTCTCCTGAAATTCTTAGTAGCAGTTCCCAGGAACCCAGTAAAGTTTCCAGAAAGCAGTATTTCTGGCTACCTTGTAAAACCTGAAAACTGAAATGTGACCACTTTCCAAAGATTCAGATCCAGGTCACCTGTAATCAGAACGGAAGTGTTTTCATCAGTTTACAGCTATCAGTGATTTGATGACGTCGACACGGAAAGCCAGTGTTTCTGCTTCTATCACATTCTGTCCCATTCTCAGACCTCCGGCCCGGATGGGTGCTGTTTGGTTTTTCCTTAAACCATCCTTTCTGGAGAGGCTACTGCCTTTTTGTGCTGTGTCAATGTGTCTGTATTTGGATTAAGGGGATATAGTTCTATTTCGGGATTGTACCTTATACCTTAGATTTGACAGCGTATTTGTTTTATGGATATCTTTTGTTCATCATAAACTGATTTATTTTTAAAATTAATTTAAAAAGTCTCTTAAGTTTTGATTTGTGAAGGTGAAGTCAACATAGTCCCAAAGGACCATACGGCTGCTCGCTCATTAGAGAGAGGTGACTGGTGGTGGTTTAACCTGAGACTCAAGCGCGGGGAGAGGTGAGAAAGACAGTTCTCCATGGTAACCTCAGCCAAACAATTGGCCAGAGATAGTAGGACCTGCCGATGCTGAAGAATCTGAGATAACAAGGTGCACAGCTGGATGAACACAGCAGGCCAAGCAGCATCAGAGGAGCAGGAAAGCTGACGTTTTGGGCCTTTCCTGCTTTCCTGCTCGGCCTGCTGTGTTCATCCAGCCCTACACCTTGTTATCAAACAATTGGCCATTTTGGTGACTGAATCAACTTACTTATCCACAGTTTGCCTGATGGAGTGGTGGGGCTTGATTATCAGCACTTTCCTCCATCTCCAGTTGTAACAACTAGAAGAGTAAGTAGATGATGTGCATCAATATCTAATGATTCTTATAGCACCAGGGAGAAGTGCTGGGAACAAACTGAGCTGAGAGAGATAACTCAGACATTATCAATCTCAAAACAAGAGGCCAGTAACACAGTCCAGGCCCAAAAGCATTGATTTAAACTTCAAGGTACTCAGTTTTAGGGACTGTACCTTCCCCACTCCTCCTCAGCCTCCTCTGCTGTCAGAGTCTTGTGTTTTGCAACTGGGATAAAATTGTACCAGGCATTAACAGGAAATGCTTCAAACGCTCCATCAGGGCACTGCGTGAAGATGTAGTAGGAAGCATTTTCAGTGACACCACCTTTCCTCTGACCTTTGAACCTGAACAACAGAAAAAGAGATTAGATCAAACAGACGGTTGTCTCCATTTGCCAGCAAAGAAGCAATTCCCTTTACTTACTTCCGACCCGATTTCCCATTTACTCTCAGCAGCCAGGGCTGGTCCTCTGGTTTAAACTCACGGGTAACAATCCCAAACTTCTTCTTTCTTGACTCCTCTCGTAGCTTTTTGCCAAACTCACTGCCCGCACCAAACATCGGCTGCTCCTCCTCCTGATAAATCTTCTTGTTACTCAGGTCACGCTCCATTTTGGCCTAAGAGGAAATGGAGATTGTGTAATGCTTGTGACAAACTATGCCAGCCATCAGTATCAACATTTCCTGTGCAGGGGCCTTTCCCAGCCTCCTGGAGACGTCTTGTCTAAAACAGATAATCCAGGAGACCCTGCGTCCTGGTAGCAAGCACTGATTCCCTCTCATTCACCCACTATTTACTAAATGCACATGATACAAAACCTTCTAGACAAAAATATCCTGAAAAGCGCTGAGTTGAATGGCAGAGAAGCACAGAAAATGCTGGAATAGTGAACACTGAAGGCAACAGCTGAAGCTCCCTTGCCCTGTGCCCCCCTCTCTCTTCTTGGAGGCCTCTGCCACCTGGAGATTGTACCTGAGTCCACGTGGAGAAGTTGATTTTATCGGCAGCATTGAAGGCCATGATGTTATGTTTCTTGGTGTTGTTCCTAAAAAGGGAATGGGTTCAATTCAATAAGAGATCAGGCCCAATGACCAACCCTGATGCTCACCCCCAAAATCCCCTCAACCCACCAGCCCCAGTCCTCAATCCATCACACCTCCTCAATCCAGAAGCTCTGAGAAAGAGCCACTTTAAGAGAAAAACTTATGGAGAAAAATCAACGTGCGGGTGGAGCTCGAAATATTAACACTGTTTCTCTCTCCACAGATGCTACCAGACCTGCCGAGTTTCTCCAACAATTGGTTGTTGTTGTTGTTTTCGAGAGAAAAGAACCCATCCTGATTTGAGAAGCATCCATACATTTCCCTGTGAGTCATTAATCTGATGTTACCATGTGCTGGCCCAGCTGCTGGTTACTGTTAATTCTGAAGCAATGATTAGAGAATCTCTTACTTGGGAACACGGACTGTGTATTCCGTCACTGCCTGGCTGCTCGAACCCTGTCAAAGGAAAACAGCAAAATGATCATCAGTGGCCTATGACCAAGCACAATCGCAGCTAGACCAGCAGTAATTGTAATAATAACCCTTTGCCTGCCATACCATAGTAACTGGCCTGTGTGTTTTAAAATTCAGTAAAGAATGAGCCAGAGCTCAGAAGAACCTTGCCTCCATCATAAGGTCAGAGCAGGAATGTTTGCTGATGCATAATGTTCAGCACCACTTGTGAGTCCTCATATACTGGAGCAGTCTGTATTTCACAAACTATGTTTAACTGTTTTTGGTAATTAACAGGCAACTAACACTGTGCTGCAGAGAACGAGCTAGTTTTCCAAGATCAAAGATCAAACCTAGAACCGCGTGGTGTTTAATCATTGGTTACACCAGGGCATGTAACCTTTGAGATATTTGATAACATTAGACAGCCATACAGTCATGCAGTAATACAGCATGGAAACTGGCCCTTTGGCCCAAACTGAGCATGGTGCCCATTCAGCTACTTCCAATTGCCCACATTTGGTCCATATCCTTCTAAACCGTTCTCATCTATGTACCTATCCAAATGATTTTTAAATGTTGCTATTGTACCTGCCTCAACCACTTTCTCTGGCAGCCCATTCCATACATTCTGCGTGAACAAGATGCCTCTCCGGTGCTTCTTAAATCTATACCCTTTCACCCTAAATCTACGCTCTCTAGTTTTCAATTCCCCATCCCTGGGAAAAAGACTATATGCATTCATCCTATCTATTTCCCTCGTGATTTTATACACATCAATAAGGTCAGCCCTCATTCTCCTACGTTCCAAGGAATAAAGTCCTATACTGGCCAACCTCTCCCTATAACTCAGGCCTACTAGTCCTGGCAACATCCTCGTAAATCTTCTTTGCACACTTTCCAGTTTAACTATGTCTTTCCTATAACAGGGTGACCAAAACTGTACACATTACACCAAGTGCAGCCTCACCAACGCCTTATACAACTGTAACATAGCGTGCCAACTCCTATACTCAATTCCTCGACCGATGAAGGCCAGCATACTAAATGCCTTCTTCACCATCCTGTCCACCTGTGATGCTGCTTTCAACAAACTATGTACTTGTACTCCTACATCTGTCTGTTCCACAATACTCCCTCAGAACCTTACCATTTACTGTACAAGTCCTATCTTGGTTTGACTTTCCAAAATGCAATACCTCACACTTATCTGTATCGAACTGCATTTGCCAATCCTCAGCCCACTTCCCCATCTGATCAAGATCCCTCTGTTAATTTTGGTAACTTTCTTCGCTATCAACGATACCTCCTAATTTTGTATCACCCGCAAACTTACTAATCATGCCTTGTACATTCACAACTAGATCATTTATGTAGATAACAAATAACAAAGGTCCCAGCACCGACCCCTGTGGCACACCACTAGTCACAGGCCTCCAGGCTGAGAAACAACCTTCAACCATCACCCTCTGCTTGCCACCATCGAGCCAATTTTGAATCCAATTAGCTAGCTCTCCCTAGATCTCATACCTTCAATACTAGCCTGCCATGTCAAAGGCCTTACTAAAGTCCATATAGACAACATCCGCTGTCCTACCCTCATCCATCCTTTTGGTTACCTCTTTGAAAAACTCTAAAAAATTTGTCAGACATGACTTCCCGCACACAAATCCATGCTGACTATCCCTAATCAGACCTTGACTATCAAAATGTTGGTTGATTCTATCCCTCAGTATTCTCTCCAATAACTTGCCTATCACTGATGTTAGGCCCATTGTCCTGTAGTTCCCTGGCTTGTCTTTGCTACCTTTCTTAATCAATGGAACAACATTAGCCACCTTCCAGTCTTCCGGAACTTCACCAGTGGCTAAAGATGAAGCAAAAATCTCTGCAAGGGCCTCTGCAATTTTTTTCCCTAGCTCCCACAACATCCAAGGATCGACTTGATCAGGCCCAGGGGATTTATCCACCTTAATGCACTTTAAAGGCTGCAAACACTTCCTCTCTGGTAATGTGTATGCAGTTCAAAACATCCCCATTTGTTTCCCTTATTTCCTTAGCATTCACGGTTCTCTCCCTAGAAAAACACCAAGGAGAAATATTCATTAAAAATCTCCCCCATCTATGTGTGGTGCCACAGGAGACAGCTATGCTGATCTTTAAGGGGACCTGTTCTCTCCCTAGCCACCCTTTTATTCTTAATATAGCTATAGAACCTGATGGGATTATCTTCAACGTATCTGCCAGATCCATCTCATACCCACTTTTTGCTCTTCTGATTTCTCTCTTAAGTGTGCTACACTTTTTATAGTCTCTAGGGATTCGCTTGAGCCTAATAGCTTAAACGCAATGTATGTCTTCTTCTTGTTCCCGATCGGAGCCTCAATATCCCTTGTCAACCGGGGTTCCCTAGCCCTGCCAGCGATGTTGGCACCTGGTGCCTTGGGTTAAAAACAACTGCCCAGCAACAGCTTTTGATTGGTTAAGCTGCAGTTTGTCACAGAACTGAAAGGGGCAGCTGCACGTAGACTCCCAAAAGCCTACAAATCAGGACCGCTCTCTCTCTCTCTGCCCCACCCCCGCCTCCTTCATGGAGAGTTGAAGAAAACTAGAGCTAAAAGACTCTGAAAAGACCTCCTAACTCAAGCAAAACCCTAGGTTCAACCGACTGGCTACCAAATGAAAATCACCACAGTGAACAATAATGTGATACAATCAGCAAAAATCAAAACAACTGAGAAATTCACCTCAATACACCCTTGAACTTTGGAGTCCTGATTTACTAAATGTTACTTTTTGTTCATGTTTCCCATCCACAATACCTCTGCAGAACTCTCTCGGTCTTACCTGTGCCATTTGTGAATGAACACGTACATGTTTGCACTGAAAGGGGATATAGTTTAGGATTCAGTTTAATAATAATCCATTTTGCCACCTGTTGAAGAACTTTGTTTGTAACAAATCCAGTTTGGCATTTTGTTCATTGGTGAAACCTATCATAGCGAGAGTATGGTTTATGGTCACAGTCAGGCATTAATCATCCTAGAGATTCGTTCGCTCATATTTCACACTTGTGACAATTTGTGGAGTACTGGGGATTGATTTTAGGTGCACTGTTGCCAGGGTCTTGACAGTGCCACCAGGGTCTTGACAGTGCCCACAAGTAGCAAGCCCTGGACAGCATCCAGGCTTGGGAAGTGGCAGAAAACATTTGTGCTACACAGAGCCAGGCAATGACCATCTCTAACAAGACTAAATCTAACCATCCCTCCTTGACATTCAACAGTGTTACCTTCACTGAATCCCCACTATCAATGTTCTGGGGTTCACCATTGACCAGAAACTCAACTTGCTATATCAATACAATGGCTACAAGAGCAGGTCAGAGGCTAGAATCATGTCATCCCTAAAAGCCTGTCCATCACCTACAAGGCACAAATCAGGAGTGTGACAGTATATTCTCCACTTGACCAGATAGGCTCCAACAAACAGGTCAACACCATCCAAAACAGCCCACTTAATTGGCACACCAGCAATAAACTTTAGTATTCACTCCATCCATCACAGTGAAGCTGTGCATGAAATCTACAAGATGCACAGCAGCAACACACCAATTCTCTTCTGACAGTACATTCCAAACTCACAATCACTATAACTTAGAAGGACAAGCATAGAAGATAGACGGGAACACCACCACCTACAAGTTCCCAACTTGGGATAGTATCACAGTTTCCTCACTGTCGCTGGGTAAAAATTCAGGAATGCCCTCCGTAAAAATACTGCGGGTGTCCCTACAGTCCACTGACTATTGCCATTCTCGAAGTAGCTCACAGCTACCTTCTCCGGGGAAATTAGGGATTGTAATAAATACTGATCTCATACCCCATTAAAAGAAAGAATTTGGTCACAAGGCTTGATTCAGTTGCCTTCCGTCTAGTCCACACTCTCAACATTCGCTATTTAGCAGCACACAGATGTATCAGTGCGGGGGAAAGGCTGTACAGAAAACATATTGATACCAGGGCAAAATAACCAACTGACTGAGTGTCCTGTTCTTACTCTACTGCTAATCAAATCAGGTTATATTTATCCCTTAGCAAGGGGGCTGTTTGTTCCCTTCTTGAATGAGGAAGTGGCCGAGTGTTTACATTGTTCACAGATCAAAAAAAAATGGTCTTTGAAACCTTACCGCTTTGTAATTGCTGCAAAAATCCAAACCTATGTTGAACGGAGCAACAAGGCTGATAGGTTAACATGACTCAGAAACACTTGGATGAAGGGGCTCACACCGTCCAGTGTCACTCTCACTGCGTGAAAGGAAATTTCAATATGCCATCTCAAGTTTGAACAATGGTGAGCCTGGATCTATACATCTTGTTCATTGGCATTTGTCAGTGCACATTTACCAAGAGACCCCCTGTCTACACACTAGCCCGGACCCAGGCTTATTAGTAACTAGAATTGCTGCAGAAAGTTCCAAAAATGATGGAATTCAGTGAATGCAGGGACACTTTAGAAATTGGGATTGCCCTACTTAAAGCAAGAGAAAGTGGAGTGAGATTTACTAGATAGGTTCAAACTGCTGGCAGTTTTGATGAGAAGTGAATGGAGACAGACTGAAGGTTTTTCTTCTGACTGATGAAGCCACTGCATTGAAAGATTTTCCAGAATTCCTTTCTCACTGTCCAACCCTCTCAGCCGTGCCCGTTTCCATTAACAGTACAACTTACCAAATTGGCCATAACTGCGAGGGTATGGTGAGCGTTTCACCTCCGAATGGATTCTGTAACAGGAGGAAATAAAGATCAATAATTGACGTTGTGAAGGGGGATGAAGGGGAGTGGGGGTGTGGGTGTGAGGGGT